AATAATGCAAATTTTCATGTTTTTTTATAACTACCCCTCTATAAATAAACTGTTTATGTTTGATGTATTATTCTTTTGTAAGAATTTCAACACTTTTTGATCACCATAGAAGTGATAAAGGTGGGGTAAGTATGTTGTTTACTTTTTTAAAAAAGATAGATCTCACTCGCAGTTCGTTGTTTTCATCTATCCAGATTTCAAGCTGAAAACTCATCATCAGTTTCAAGAATTTACAACCACATCTCTCGACCCTTACAATTCATGTTGAGAGACGTGGTTAGTTTAGACTCCGGATAGTTGAAATCACCAAACTGTAAGTAAGAACTATCTTTTAAAAAAGACTTTTTAATCCTCTTCCAACCGAAATTTTTTGCTTACCTCAGTAGCTTTCGTTACTTAGGATCAGTCTTTCTAACAAGCGGACAAAACTTTTTTTGGTAATTCTTCACTCCAAAATATTGGACACGTATCTATCACTTCTTGTTGGTTTCTCAAAAAAAATAAAATAAAATAAATAAATAAAATAAAAATAAATAAATAAAGTTTTAGTATTAATTGATAAATTTCTTAATAAACATGATCAGTCGTTTTTTTAAATTAAGGAACTATAATTTGTTACAATTCCGATCAATATCTTACTAATTCTTTGTATTTTAACATCTATATAAAGCCATAAAGACGTTGAATTAAAAAATAACAACAGTAACACTAGACAACGGTATAAAAAAATATATGTGTTTCATTAATTAATTATTATTTTGAACTGGTTCCACGAACGCATTTTGAACTTACAACATTTTCGATTTCACTGACCGAAAACTGAATTCAATACCTGGGATAGAATGTACTAAAATATTTGGTTTGACGGCAGTTTTAATAAACGAGGACTGACTACCAGTTTGTGGGTTAGAGATTTGGCCCAAACTTTTTTTGGTGGTTCTACGCTAAAAAATATCAACCACATATACGCCAATTCTTGTGAATTGGCCCTGGTTTCGCAAAAAGATTTAAGTTGAAATCTTCTGTTTTTTAATATTTTTATTTCGCCGTTCTACTTGCTCAAATCAGCTATGTAAATATATCATCTTACAGCATTTCTTATCTATATTATAATAAAATATAGTAAATGTATATTATAATAATAAATGTATATTATAATAAAATATAGTAAAAGCTATCAAAATTTATCAATAACTTCTGAATTTTCCTTCTCGTAGGTCAGATAATAGGTCATCTAAAAAAAGCCCAACTTTTTTCAATCCACATTTGATTCATCAGCAAATCAAATATTTTTCAAGTAAACTAGCTCACAAATTTTTTTTGGTGAAACTAAAACGAAATTTCGTTTTACCACTCTAGAGATCCATAAATATAAATTTTTGTTTGAATTTAAATTTATCAATTTTTTGAGCCCAAAATTTTTTCGATTTTTGAATAAGCCCTTACCTTATACCCTTATCTGATTGAAACGGCCATAATTCAAAAACGGCTAAAAGGATTATAACGTAAAGATAAATCAACAAAATCACATTCTTCTTTAATCTCATCGTCACGAGTCTTGCGTTGTAAAACCCTTTTTACTTTAAAGTTAGGGTTAAAAGAATTTCAACATCTTGTACAGACTCACTTCGTTCAAAATTAAGTCCAAATATTTTATAACAATATAAAGAAACATTAGAGTGATAAAAAGTAACTAGTTTACATTTTTTCTAATTGAGAAACAATTTATTGTTGTGAAAGCAATTTTCGAGGCTCGATCAAGAATTTTGAAGTGTGTCTTTGTAATTGTGTTTGCAAATGATGGCGCCACACTTCCTGCTAACAAATCTGTGAATTCTTTAATGTGGCAATCCAGATTATTTCTAAGCCGAATCTATAATAAAAAAGGTAATTAAAGAAAAGGAGATTAACACTACAAAAAAAATTCACACCATCAGAGCCTAACGTCACGTTAGTTAAGCAAAATACCAAGAAAAACAAAGTATAGCAGTGTTTCTCTCTTATAAGAAACTACAAACAAAAAGGCTATTAACGGCTTTAAAAAAAGTAAATAAATAAACAAATCAAAGTGAAGAGAGTGAAAGGCCGAAAAGCATGTGATAGACCAGTCGGAAACGACCAAGGTACAGGTCCTTACCCCGCAGACCTCAATAGGAAATCTCTCAAATTATATTTTAAACTGTGAGATTTTTCCATGCGGTCTGTGGTTATAAACCTACGATTTGGTAGTTTCCGATCATTTTGGTCTGTCTATCCTAGCTGGTTTGGTCAGACGCCTTTCGCCATTGCTATAACTATTTGATCAAACGCTGATAAACTTTTTTTTTCATTGCATGTAATTCGTCAGACCAAAACAGCGAGAATAGATAAATTTATTGTAAACGACCAATTCTCTGGTTCATTAATTCGCAAACCCCAATAAAAGAATCTCACAATTTAATAGTAATCAAATTTACCATTTAGCCCAATTGGGAAAAAGAATTTTATAAAGATAATATTTTCTAAAAGGCTGGAAAAGCCGATATTTTGTAAAAGTAATCACCCTTCAGATAGTCGACGACGACGTATTTTATTCAATAATAAAATGAATTATTCAAAGAAAATAAGTTATTTTACGTAGAAATATCTAAACTTCGAATTTCATGGATAAATAATAAAACACTGACAAATAGTGCTATAATACAAATATTGACAATTTATCCCTCCAACAAACAGACTGGACGAAAATTGTTAATGGTTTTGGATCATTAACATCTAACGTAAACCAATCAAAGAAAATTGTTAAGTAAATCTTGTCAGAATAGGACTGCCTTGGTTTTCAAAAAATTAGGTTTTCATTGAGGGTTACATTTTGGTTATACCTACAGATCATGTTCATCTGCTGTATGATATCAATATTTAATTTTAATGCACTTTAAACCTAAACAATTGGTACAAATGATATTAGCGTGGTAAGATAATATTAATTTATTTTCGGAATAGCCAAAGTCACACTGTCTTGTTTTTTAACAGTTACTATTTCAACGCTTTTAGAACATCCACGCTTAACTTCAGTGAACAGTTCAGCACATTCATACTTCATAGTCTTACACGGAGAAAATTGAGACGTAAAAGTAAATTAACTTCTGTAGAAGTGATGTGTAAAGAAAGTGTTGTTTTGACCCACCCTTTTATTTAATAAAATTAATTAAAAATTAATTTCAATAAAAATGGCGAACGTGTTAGCAGTATAGAAGGTATGTTTTAAATGTTTAATTTCAAATCGCAAAACAGTTTATTGCTTAATTAAAGTGTAGTTTCGACTACTTCAATCATGACAATTTGTAAAATTGATTAATTTTTTGTTTTTCACCGAATCAGACACGTACGAGAAAAAGAAAGTGTGTCTAGGGCTATTCATAGACACTGAAAAGGCAGGCATTCGTCAAAGTGTGGCACCCAGGCTTATTAACAAAAACTGAAGATTCACCTTGAAGAGTCCCTGAACCGCATGGTACAATCATACTTTACGAATCGAAGGTATTCAGTGCGGTACGGAGAAGCCTATTCACAGTCTTTGGAAGTTAATCGGGAGTAACTCAAGGCAGTGTGCTGGGGCCTTTTCTCTACCTTCTCTTTTGACTCTGTATAAACAGCCCACTTTGCTAATACCAAGATACCAGTGCAGAAGCCCATTCCATGCTACAGGAATTCACGAACATTGGTGTAAAAGATGGTGTGTAAAAAGTGAACCCAACGAAGTTACAAGCAGTTCAATTCACTTAACGTCGCCTCGGGTCAAATGAAGCAATTTTGTTAAAAGGAGAACCCGTAACATCTACAATATCAGTGCGGTATCTAGGGCTGGTCCATAAGCTAATATGGGAAACACATATTAAAAACCTCATACGGACTCGAAATCGAAGGTACACACTGAAACATCTACACGGCAAAGAAAACAATCCCTCTCCACGTGAAACGACTCATTTCATAATTATCATAAGGCCTATCAATGGCCGGTTCATCGGCATCTGATTCACAAATTACTAAACAGCAAACCATGCCCTCCGGTTAATAACAAATGCCCTGTATGTTCGGAGCCAAACTATCCACAAGACCATTACGTTAACACGGTGATCAATGATACCAATAGTCGACACCACCGGTCCATCATGGCGCATCCCATCCAACTGATGCAAGCAATTGCCCAGAGACAACCAACTCCAAGATCACACAGCCGACTCAAAAGGAAGACACTCTCCGACCTTGTATCATCCTAAACTCTTATCTATTATCTACTCAAATAATTAATTATTGCAAGCTATTGTTACCAAATTGGTTAACAATCTGATTAAGTGAGGAACCGCGGGCATTCGGCTACACTTGATGTTTCCAGTCATATTTTATATTTAGTGTGTGTGTGTGTGTGTGTGTGTGTGTGTGTGTGTGTGTGTGTGTGTGTGTGTGTGTGTGTTGTTTAGCGACCGTTAGCCATGTTTATTTGGAGATAGTGAGATGTGGTCTGGTGTGACGTAGGTTTTAGAAAAACATTTTCTTTATCATACCAACGTTTCGATCTGTATTGAGGTCATCTTCAGGGCTCAAAATGTTTGTTTTCTGTGTAGATGTGTCCATCTTGTGCGTCGTGGGCACTCTCAACACGACACACAAGAATGACACATCTACGCAGAAAATAAACACTTTGAGCCCTGAAGATGACCTCAATACAGATCGAAACGTTGGTACGATAAAGAAAATGTTTTTCTAAAACCTACATCACACCAGACCGCATCTCACGATCTACAAATAATTTATATTTAGTATACGATCAGAACTGCAATGTGTAACTGTAACTATATTGAGCTAACAATCGAGTTTAAAAAGACGAAATAAAAGTTTTTCCACGGAATATCGCTTGTCAATAAAGGCTGGATGAAAATGTTTCTATATTCTATATTAAATCTGAGCAACTAATTTTTCAGTGACTTTCCAAAAATGTTAAAATTGCAGAAAAGACTTACCCTCCTCAAGGAAGAATGAGCGTGTGGATGAAACAGTAATAGTCCGTCGTAACGTTGGGATTTTCGGGAAAAACCGTTGAAACACATGCAATTGCATAACATATTTTTTTCCGATGAAATGTTTTATTTGGTAAGTTAATATAACGGGATTGCCTATATTCACGGCATAAATTACAAATCGGCTCGGAGGTGCACCGATGCTTCGCGTCGTTCTCTGACTCCCCACATGTTTGACACGCCGAAGCAACATGACAATGGATTTTAATTTAAAGACGCAAGTAGGGCTAACGCGACAAGAGCGATTCCGGTTTGAATCAGTTTGCGGAAGTTGATAAATTTATCAAATGCACAATACAAAGTTTAATAGCTCAAAATATTAAAGAAATACACCTAACCATCCCTATACTAAACCACTTTTCGCTCTATTCGTTTTGCCTTTCTAAATAAGACTAATCTTTTTTAGAGGTAAACTCCTCAATTACGTTTTTTTTATCAGCAGAGGTTACATCCACCGCCAATTTGCGAGTATGTCGGGTCATGCAGCGCCGCTGGATTCGAACCCGGGACCATTACCTTACAGTGATGAGCGCAATGTCAACGCCTAAACCGTTGCGGCCACCGACCCCCCTTAGTTACGTTTTCATTCGCGTATATGATAGGACTGATGAATCAGGTCCTGAATAATTATTTTTGTTATGTGTTTATACAGTTATTCAGCATCGACTAGTGAGTTTTATGTAAAGATTAAAAAAAGGCTTAAGAAACATAAAAACATTAAATGCACTATCAACAATGAAAGGATCATATTCTAAATCAAAAATTCTGTTTAATCAAAAAACCATGCTTTTCTAAACACCTGATTGATCGTCACTTGATATCATTCACTCAAACGCGTTTCGGCTTCAAGCCCTCATTAGGCGGAACTCATTTCTCAAACTGACCCACAGTAAAGAGAACAAGTGTCGATCAGATAAGTCTTGTAAACGGTAGTTCTACTCACAAACTGATTTTATAATGTTGTTGCATTATGTTGCTGCATAGAACCAGTTAATGAGTAGATCTATCGTTTACAGCCAGTAAATTGAAATACTCACTCCGCCTTAAAAATTTTCTACCACAGTTTGTTTCCACATTGTCAGTACACTGACATTCACCTTTAAATAAAATTGGAGTTTTAAATCCTTCACCTATGTATAAAGTGTTTGTACAGTAGAGACACAGGCTCTGGACAAAAACGATGCACATAAATCATGTGATCAATCATCGTTTGGAGTCACATTCCACCTCTTGTTTATTTCATTAAAGAACGTACACACTACTAGATTGTCAAGATATTGTCAACAACCATTATCTCAAAAGCGAGAGCAAACATTTCATATCTATCCGCTACATTTGATCCAACTTTTAAATTAGGCATAGAAATCTTCAGTTATAAATAAATCAGAAATTTCTTCGAGAATTATGTCAAATAAGGAAATTGATTTGGTCGTTTCCGATCATGTTGATCTTCCTATCCGTCCTGCCAACGAAGTGTGCTGTCAACAGTCGGGTCATTTCAGCCCCATCGCAATCACGTCCTAAATCCAAATCCAATCACTCACGCTTAAATACATTCTGCCCTGTTGGCACACCATTCACTTAATTAGGGTGGTGTTATTATATCACTAACCTTACTGGGGGGGGGGGGTCAATGAGTTCTCAATATTCCACCATCGACTCTTTTACACTACATATTCATGCTAATAAATGCATTCATTATCATCGCACTCTAGGGTACACAGCAATACCATTTATATGTGATATAGCGTGTCTCTTCTTCTTTTTTTGTTGGGCCCAACCCTGATTTCGGAAAACCGAAATCAAGGTCCCAGAGGTTTTTTACGATCGGACCTGACTACGATTAATTCTTTTATCGATCAGGCACCTTTTATATTTTATTTAAACCAAAGTAAATACGNATATATATATACAATAAATCATACCTGTTTTCTCCAAGAATCGGAACAGAGGACCCAAATACTTGTTGCCGTGTTGAAGCACAATTCTCATATCATGTGACATTCCTGCACGTTTTATATAGAGCCAAAGAGTTGCACCCTTCAATTAGATGGGACACATCGAGCAACCTTTCTCTTCATGCCGGACACTCGCGCTTTGGCCCAAAAGTAAGTGTCCGTGTGTCTACCTCGCATGGTCTATACTTAACCGGGTGATCCTTGTTCTACGGGTCCGATCCTCCGAGGGCTTTTGAAACCTGAGTTTGTTATGGTACCACATTTTCTACTAGCAAATCTGAGGTTGACGATACAGGCAATGATAATTTATTTTAAGCCGGCTATCTTTAAAGAAATCCATAATTAAAGCTTAGATCATAGGTGAACTGCAATAAAACAAATTAAGTTAGGTATCAATTTAAGGAAGTACATTTAGAATTGTTTTTTAATCCCCCCCACCGACAATAGGACATTTTTTTGGACAGATAAAGCACAAACCTTCCAATGACAAAATAAACCTCGGACTGCCAACACCCGGGTGGGTGATTTACTGTAAATTACAAAAGCTAGAATTGCCGGTGGACTGCGAGAAAAGATACGCTCAATTCTGATGATCTCACCCATTTGAGCTTATATAAATCAGTAATTTAGTAAAACACAAACCCACCACTGATGATGGCCAAAGACCGAAATTCGACAGAAAAACAGAAGAACCAAAATGAGTAAACAACCATATATACATGAATTCACTAATTTCGTGGTCCGCTTGACCAATTAATACATTACAATTAATTAAGGTTTTTAGTTGAGATGAAAAAATGGCAAAAAGGAGGGAAAACTCATAAGGTGGGGTTGAGATAGGAAGTTGATGTTCGAGTGGATCGAGGTCACGGTAGCTCAAAAGAGCAGCGGCGTATCTTGCCGAAGATCGTGGGTTCGAATCCCGCTCGTGCCATTAACTTTTTTTCATCTCAACGAAAAACCTTAATTAATTGTAACATATACACATGTTATATTTCATACTACTTTTGTTATATTATTCATAAAACTGATCATACATTTCACTGATAATAAAAGTAATGAATGTGTTGTGGTTCCGGATGAACAATACCAAATTATAGCTATTTAAAAATGTCTGTGAATTAATAAGTTCTAATTCTTAAAAGAATGTAATTTTTTAAATGTTTAACGTGAAGCTGCCGGTGGTGACAAGACATCCTCGTTCTTTTGTAAGGCTTTAGATCCATTTTTAGTGGATTACCATGAGTGTACAAAACATATTTTTTGTGGATTGACGCCCTCTACCTTGGTATTATTTCATATGGCGTTGAGTGTTCACTATCCAGCGGATCTTCAGTAATCGAACCAAAACAAGGGAAAAAGACAGGCCAACGACTGATTTCCCATCCACCTTAATTACCATTTGTTTTCAAGGAGGCAAAAGAAACTAATAGAAAATTTACATTTGTGAGAAATCGACAGAATTTTCGGTTTCGATTGTACTTGGAAAGGATTTTCTTTATTTTTTTTCTCTTTTCCGTCCCAAGTGGTTGAATTTTCCCACGCCTTCAGTGGACGTGGGAATCATCTACAAAGATTGAATCTTGTCTTGGATGATGTCAATTCGAAAACTAGAACAACATTGACCAACTTCTTTGTTGAGCAACTGATAACGTTTGACCAAAATCACATGTACGCTGGAATCTAGTTTACAGAAAACGCTTGTTTCTTTTTTTCTTTCTTGAGAGTCATTTTATTATATCAAACTGTTTTTCGCAGATGGTTGTCGTATAATTAAACAAATAAATCAGTAATAATTTAAGTGGTGAAGAAAACTTTCTCTTTTATAATATGTACTAGAAGCCATTATTTGTTTTTGGTTTGTGTGAGAAAAAATATTTCTACATGGTTTTTCAATTATTTATTACTATTTTTTTAAAGGTTGGATGTTATGGGAATCTTCAATCAATTCAATCTTATACATATCTGTGTGGTGATTAATGACCGTTAGTCGATGATTATTCGAAAATCGTGAGATGCGGTCGGGTGTGATGTAGGTTTCAGAAAAACATTTTCTTTATCGTGCCAACGTTTCGATCTATATTGAGGACATCTTCAGGGCCTGGGATTTACAAACATTGTTTAAATTTAACAAATACATGTAGGATGTGGAAAAAGAGAATTTATACAATGCAAAAAATATTTTTTAATATTCAACCAAAGTATTTCTACTCACTCAAAGTGTTTGTTTTCTGCGTAATTGTGCCATTCTTGAGTGTCGTGTCATCTCACCAGACCGCATCTCATGATTTTCGAATAATCTTATACATATAAATATTATTATTACAAATATATAGATAGATTAATGCATATATGTAGTCATAATTCACCATATTAATTATTTTAATTAATTGTAATTTTTATCTAAGGTTGAGATGAAAAGTATAATTAATTAAAATATATATCCGTATTTTACCTTATTTTTAAAGAATTTTTTTATTTATCTTATTATTATTTTTTTGTTATTTTACATTAATTTGAGTTTAATTGAAGATTTAAGGACTGTTTTGTATCTATAAAATTACATTTTCTAATATTTAAAGACGCAAAACGGTCCTTAAACCTTTAATTACACTTTAAAAAAATTAATGTAAAACTACAAAAAATAAAGAGGCAAGAAAAAATTCTTTAAAAATAATATATAAAATACTAATACTATTTTTGTAAAAAATGATATTGTTTTTATATACAAAATTATAGTTGCTGAAGATGGGTATAAACCCAAAACGTCCAACCTAAAAAAATAAAAAAATATAATAAATAAAAAACCACATGAAAACTTTTTTCCTCACACAAACCATAAATGAATTAAAAGGCCAAAAAATCTAAATTCTCTAATTCTTTATAATAAATAACGTATGGAGGATATATTGTTTTGATAAAAACACAAAAAAAGCAGATGATTTATTTCTTTTTTTTTTCTGCGGTTTTAAGGTTGAGAGCCTTTGTGTTATCAAAACGAGCATTATTGATAGTATTTAAAAGTAATAATTACATATCTGTTTAAGTTAATCATTTTATTTATCTGTTCAAATCCAATTCATTTTGTTTGTTTGCAGTTACTTATTTATGTATTTTTGTTTTTCAAAATGTTAAAAAAATCTTATATTTCAAAACATATTTTAAATTGTAATGATTAGGGCCTGACAAC